TGAAGATGAGATTCTACAAGGATTAAGGGCATGCAAGAAAGACAAGACTCTAGGTCTGAGTAACTTTAATATGAGGTTCTTGCAGGAGTTTATGCATGCGATGAAGAGTGATATCATTGAGTTATTCAATGAGCTTTATTAAGTTGAATCCTTTGTTAAGTCCATGAATTCTTCCTTTATAGTTCGTACTGCTAAGGTTGGTGGTGCTACCAACATTAAAGATTTCACGCATTAGTCTTATTGGGGGCATCTATAAACTGATTGCAAAATCCTTGTGAGGAGAATGACTAAAATTTTGGAAAAGGTTATTGGTGAGTGTCAACATACTTTTATGGGAGGTAGACAAATACTAAATACGATCTTGATTGTCAATGAAGTGGTAGATAATTTAGTGGGCAAGAAAATGAAATGAGTTTTATGCAAGTTAGATATGGGGAAGACATATGATAATATAAACCGGAGTTTTGGGACTATATTCTCATGAGATTGGGTTTTGGTGTGAAATGGAGGATGTGGGTTAGATGGTGCATACCAAAGCTTTTTTGCTGTGTCAATTAATAGAAGTTCATCTTCGTTCTTCCGAGTTTTGAAAGACTTAAGGCAAGGGGACACACTTTCTCCGCTACTCTTCATCGTGGTCATAGAAGCTCTGAATAAAATATTGATAAGAGCTAGAGAACATTATTTATTCAAAGGATTGAGTGTAAGTGTTGGTGACAGGAAAGAGTAGATGACACATTTATTTTTTGCTGATGATGCTATGCTTTTCTGTGAACCAAATAAGGAAGCTTTGCTTAATTTGAGATGTGTTATGTTGGGTTTCAAGGTGGTGTCAAAGCTCTACATTAACATGACTAAGTTTAAGTTGGTTAGGTTGGAAGAGAGGAGAATCATGAGAGATTGGCTAGTGTTCTAGGCTCAAAATGGCCAAGTTACCTATTAGATACCTAGGTATGCCTCTAGGGCCAAACTATAACGATATGAAGACTTGGAAACTAGTGGTGAATAGGTTCAAACAGAGAGTTGCAAAATGGAAAAATGTTGTACTCTAAAAAAGAAGAAGACTCACTCTCATTAAAAGTATCTTGAATAATTTACCTATTTATTATGTCTTTTTCAACCATTTCAATTAGTATTACAAAGAAACTGAAAGCGATCTAATGCA